TGATTAGAGCCCTTGCCTGCTATGTGCATACATTTTATGTTCTGAGGGCGCATTTAGAAATGGAAATGCTTCCTGCGCAGAATACAGTGACTTCTCCTTCCCCAATATAACAAATGACACAGAACAATCTTTCTAATGACCAAGTGCTAGCCTCAATTTTTACAAACAGAAACAAATGAAGGATACTTAATAGCACACATGCACACACACACACACACACACACACACACACACACACACACACACCCCTCTGTTAACAGAGAGTTAATCGTGGGGTGAAACTCTCATGACTTTAAAAGGCAAATCAGAACATCTGAGACGCAGATGGTTCGAGACTCAATAGAATCAGCGGACACCACACTAAATGCCCCACAGACTTTCAGAGAATTCCGGGCACACTCAGCATGTGACAGCTGCTGGAAGCAGTCTTTCCGTGAGATGGTGGCTAGCCCAGCCACATGCCCCTTTTCACACCAACCCCAGCCTCCCTGCCTCAGATCTTTGCCTTCTCACCTTGGCCCTTATCTTGTGGGTGGGTAAGATGTTGGTTTCATCAAAATAACAGCTAGAAGTGTAGTGGTTTTCTCTTATTTTAGGTGGCAAAAACGGTGGCCCCAAAGCGGGGAACTCCATAGGCAGGAAGTAACCTGCAGAGACGCTCTGTCCTGCAACACAGTGGAGCTCATGAATAGAGAAGAGGGAGAACTCACAGTGTGGCAATCCAGTTCAGTTCTGCCTGAGTTGAGGCTTAGACGTCTGAAACGGATCTGGGGATGTCATGAGAAACAACAGAGTCGATACCAGAGACATGGCTACCCAAGCTGGGGCTTCTTCAGTCCCTGGATACCATTCTCAGACTCCCACCCCTAGCAACAGATCCGTCCTGTGGTGAAGAATGTCGCCAATAGCATCACTCTCCTAGTGTCCAGCACTCAATCATGCCTTGTTAAGGGGTGACTGGTGGTTGTTGGGTAAATATCTGTCACACGCTCCCTTCTGTTCACCCCCATTAAAGGTGCTGGGAAGGGTGAATGAGGGGGATGCTCAGATTGCTGGAGGTGAGATCTTCTGACATCCTAACAGATACAGGCCTTGGCCATCTCTGGGATGGAGAGTCTCTCATAACCTGTCTCAAGAGCTGGCTGATGGGAAGAAGGAGGCAGAACAGAGAAGGAAGCAGAAGCAGCCTTGGTCTTGAGTGGCCCAGAACTTGGGCGAAGTGATTCTTCTTCCATCCCTCTTTCCCTCTGTTCTTCTTTCTTAAGCCAGAGAGGGACAAGGCTGAGCATCAACTCACAGGCAGCAGAGACTCCGATTCTAATCCTGTGGGTAGTGATTTGCAATGCACTCCCCTTTCACCTGAACTGTCGTCAATCAGAACACCAACCTCCAGTTCAGTCTTTCAGCCTGAAACCACCAACCGAACCCAAATGAGGCCTCCTCTTCGCTGCCTCCTCCGCCTGCCCTCCCTTCTCAGATCCTTTCAAATTTGCTTATTCCTCCTCTGGAGGCGTCTGACTGTGGCCCTGCAGTTTTAACTTTTGCTTTTTCAGCAAAATGCAGGCTTCTTTGTTTGCCCTTACCATTTTAGATGAGAAGCTGAGTGCTGAAGTCAGCACATTTGTGTGTTGATCTAAAACACACGGCATTAACAGCTTGATTGTAAAACAAAGTGGTTGTCGATGTAATTTTTGGTTGTTGATGATGGCTTAACTTTCCTGTTAGGTTTTATGGCTGCCCAATGAAACAACATGCTGTGGCAAAAAAAGGGCAGGGATTTGAAGAGCAACAGACTTAGGCTAGAATCCCAGCTTTGCTGTTCTACTCTGTGGTCATGTTGGGTTAGGTCACAAGCTTTCTGAATTCTGCTGATAAGGGGGAATAAAAGAAAGAAGCAGACAGTAGAATTCTATGAGTTAGTCTAGGCGTAGTCCTTAGCACAGGAGGCTGAGTGCTCAGTAGACATCAGCTCTCCCACTGTGTTATCCACACACAATGCGTGTTCAAAGTAGGCACCAAAGAGATGTACTCTTTTACACGCCAACTTTCCAAATACCATATGTAAGAATGGATTTTTTGCCCAAAACCACGTTATGTTATGACTTTGCCTTAGGTCCTAGTTTGGTTTTCTAGCATTGGGCTGAACACCATAACCAAGAACAACTTGAGGTAGGAAGAGTTTATGTCATCTTTGTAGCTTAGAGTCCATCCTGAAGGGAATTCGGAGCAGGAGCTCAAAGCAACCTTGAGGTGGGACTGCAGCAGAGACCACGGAGAAAGGCCACTTAGTGGCTTGCTCTCTATGGCTCTCAGCCTGCTTTCTTACACAACCCAGGACCACCTGCCTAGGGGATGGCACTGCCCACAGTGGGCTGAGCCTTCCCACATCAACAGCTAAGAAAAATGCCTCCATAGACTTGCTATAAGCCAATCTGATAGAGGCATTTTCTTAGCTGAGGTTCCCTCTTACCTGACGACCCCAGCTTGCGTCAGGCTGACAAAACACTGCCCAGCACATCTGCTTTCTGAGAGGTCTCATTTCACGTAGCTCTAGAGATGTGTTCATGTCCTAACTCCTGGAACCTATGATTATTGCTCTGTGTGGTGCATGCACATGTGCATGTGCACAGACACACACAGAGACAGACACACACACACACACACACACACACACACACACACACACACATACACACACACACGTGTGCACCTTAGATATGAAACACTGGGGTTAAGTCACAGATTATGAGGCATTTCTCCTGCACTGTCTAGAACAGGAGTTTGAGACTTGCACCATGGACTACATACACAGAGGAGATGCGTACACACAGTCTAACAGACAGAGAAGGAGGCAGAGGTGGAAGTAATGACAGCCTGAAACTGGAAGAGGCAAGGAACGACGCTGCCCTGAAAGTTCTAGAAGGAGTATGTTCCTGCTGACCTCTCGATTTCACATGGGTCTCCCAGAACTGTGGGAGAGAAGATCTCATTGTCGTAAGCGCCCCATGGATGGTGCTTCATTACAGTAACTTGAGGATACTGGTTAACTGTACTACCCTGAGCAGAAGACCGGCCCTTCCTCTCATTCTTAATGCAATGCTTCTGCAAGAGACCCAGTCTGTGAGGAGCCTGTAGTTCCGAGATAACTGCACACAATCTGCTCAGCCTCATCAGATCCGTTTCCCCACAGAACTGCAATAGGACCTGGCCTCCTCACTGTGGCCAACACCGGGGCTGACTAACTAGGACAAAGGAGGCCATAGAGAGTGGCTGTGTCTCCTGTTTTCTCTCTGAGGCCAGGGATTCCTTCAGGCACAGCAAAGCTTTTCTTTCTACAAGCAGCGGCAGAGGTGGAAATGCAGATTCCCCTCAGTTACGGGGCATGTCGACTGGAGCAGGAACCTCTGGCTTCTGTAGTAAATCATTTTACTACACTTCTTTCTTGCATGTGGGCTTTGAGAGGGAAGCCAGCCAGGAGGAACACGTGGCATCAGAGCTGTTGCTATGGTGAGAACAGAAAGCACAAGACACAGGAGCAGGGAGCCTGGCAGACTCAGCCTTTCTCCCTCTAAAGTTGACAAAGCAAGCCAGAATCTGGACCAGTCAGATAACCTGGTTCTGAAGCCCACAGAGACCTCGTAGATCTGCAAAACCATCTACAGCACATGAGAGAGGAGACTGAAGCCAAAGAGAGCCGTCGGCTCAGGCGCCTATAGGGGCTAGAGACAAGACTTTGTAGAAAAAATATAGTCATAGAGCTTTACCTCCTTAGAGGCCTGCATGTGGCTCCCCAATTCTCTGCACAGCCATGAGCCGGGTTCTGGTCTGTGCTTACCTCCAGCAGTTGCTAGGCCAGAGAGCTTGAGGAATTGGAAGCTTACAATTGCTTTGTTGCCTGCATAGGGAGCACCCAGGTCTGGGTCCTCTCTGTTAGTACCAGGCAGATTATTGTGATTATTGCAAGAGCTACCTTGAGCTGCTCTGTTGTGCCTCACTTATCCCTCCTGAAATGTTAGGGGGACGAACTGAGCAGTTTACAATCTTGGCTTCATATTGGAACATCCCGGGGGTGGGGACCAAGCCATATCCATTCCCATCTGATTGAAAACTCCACAGGTAGGAGACAGGTATCACCATTTTCAATGCCTCCCCAGCCCTCAGCCTATTTCTTGTCCAGCCAAGTTCAAGACCCAGTGGGCTGTGTAATATCCACTGTAGAACATTATCCTCTGCTCCTAATAGCTGCTTTTTTCATCAGAGCAGCTGTGGTTACTTGTAGGAGACCCTCAAGATGCAGCCTGTTGACTGTGAACACTCCTTCAGGAAGGAGGGACTGGGGGATCATTGGAGTCTTGTCTTAGATGCTGTCCACTCCCTCCCCCACATCCAGACATTTGTATGTAATTCTACCATAACTGCATGTGGCCTTGGGGTTCTGGGAGGTACTAGAATATACAGGCTATGGTGGTTCAGTATGGGAGGACTCCATCTATGCAGTGATAGAGAAGTTATTATCCATGTTGGCGTGAGATATTTTTGGGTGGTGTGGCAGCTTGGGGGTCACTCATGATCCTGTAACTCCTCATCTTTGCTCTGTAAGCAAATCCAAGAAATTCATTGGTTCTCCCAGCCCATGGTGGTCTATAAGGAGGAGGTAGACACTTGTCTGCATGTCCCTAGAGAAAGTTTCCAGAACATACGTAAGCTTCTTCCAGAAGAGATGTCTTTGTCCACATATGCCTGTGAATCTGGTGCTGTTTGTCTCTGCTCCGTAGTAAAATCCTTCCCTCAAGTTCCACACTCAGCCCGTTTTTATTTATTTATTCTTTAAGATCCCCTGAAGAGGTGTACCACTCCTGGAGATACTGCAACACCAGGCCGATGCACAGAGTGATCGAAGCACACTCCCACTTTAATATCAGATATCAAACTGACGTGGTCACACTCAGCTCTCCAGTCCTTTTACCACAGTTTGCTAAATGACATAATATTGAGATCTATTCAGGTTTGAAAACCTATTAGGCTCTCCCATGCTTTTAAGGTAGAGGAGGGACTAGTGGGGTAGTAGAACTACATGGGCATTGCTTCAGTTCATTGTCTCTCAGAACTTGCTCTGAGTGGCCCCCTGCAGTTCTGAACGGTAAATGGAATGCAACCTAGTCACCCAGCAGCGACTGAGCGCCCTGACTGAGGATGGGAACATTTAAACTGGAGGCCAAGAGGAAGTCAAGAGGAGACCAGGTGGCACTAAACCCAACAGGAGCAGCAGCAGCAGCCATGATTTGAAAACGCGGCACCTCAGCAATCTGGCAAGCGCTCCGTAAGTATCATTTTGGATTTTTGTAATGATCCTGCTACATAAACATCATCCCCATCACTGTCCTGCTAAGTAAGGAAATGAAAGCCAAGAGAGGTTAGGTAACAGGCTAAGGTTGCAAAGCTAAACTGATTTGCCATTCAGAGCGGCGACGGTAGGAGCCTCTGTTTCCACTGAGTACTAATTTCAGAGGGAAAGGAGTGAGATGGACAGAGATAGCAAGGAAAGGGTTAATATTATGGGATGACTCAATGAGAGGAGCTGCTGTGAATTGCCCCCATAAATGATGCCGCATGAAGATACTCTAAACCAGCGCCTAGGTACGTCCTGAGCTCACTCCAGACAGAAAGCACCACATTGGAACAGATGGCTTCGTTTTGAAGGACTTGTTCTGAAATCAGTCCCTGCTCCCTCAAAATAGTCCCCCAAATAAGCCCATTGTGTGTCTGTGTGATTCCATGGCTCAGCAGCACTGTTTTCTGGCCAGCACGAGCAGTTTGATTCTAAGCAGAGTTCTCATCTACTGATCGACATCTGTAGAACAAAATGTACAGGGAGGAAAAGGGGGTGGTCAGGGGAACTAGAATAAGCTCTTCCCTACAATGCCCGTCTCCAGACTCAAAGTGAAGCAAGATGTTATCAAGTCTCTCTCTCTCTCTCTCTCCAAATAAGACTTGGAGAAGACTATATCTACCAGCTGCCTCCGAAATCTAAGTTATTATTTGAGGACCCCACTGAGCAGACATCATTCGCCTAATGTAGATCCAGGGGGAGGCAACACTGGCCTGAAGCAGCGGCATTTGGAGAAAAAAGAAAGAAGAAATGGATTTTCCTAATGAGGCTTCCCCAAGCCACCATTTCATGCTGTAGCTGAAAGAAAGACACCATCAAAGGATCTTGAGGTGCTGAAGAATCTCAGTGTAAAGAGGGGGTAAGACGCCAGCTACTTCATAACAAGGCTGTAGAAATGTCTGTTACATTTAAAGAGTGTAAGTCACCCCCCCACACACACACACCATGCACAGAAGAACTGTGTAATTACACAGATGACCAACAGATCCGTGGAGGCACACAGCATATGCAAAATCACACACACAGACTGAACGGCTGCATGTCTGATGATGGTTAGGATGAATTAATTTCACAGCCTACTTCTCCTGTGGAAGATGACCTCCTTTATGCAAATGAAGGGTAAGAAAAAAATACTCTGTCATCACAATTAAATAATATAGTATTAAGTCACTGCACAGCTTTAAATGAGCTATTGTGTCAGAATGATCTGTCTGTGGGTCATGTCTCTCCTGGAGGGAATCCACAGTCTCTCGTGAAGGCTGTAGTGACAAGGTATGAGATTTACAGGCTGAAAGAGGCATGGGATGTATTCGGATATCTTTCTCTAATATGCTTTAAGACATAGCATAAAGATGACACTACCTAAATTAGCCGGTATGCCTTAAACCCAGGCTTTAAAATGGGGCTAGGAATACGTCAGCAAGACAGAAAGCCCATATGCTTGTTTTTTCTCTTCCTAAAAGCTTATCAAGTTAGAGGAGAACATTCTTAACAGGTTTACACACACACACACACACACACACACACACACACACACACACACACACGCTCACATCTTTCTTTACAACTGGAAATCCCGTCTGTTGTACTCAGCACCGAAAGACGTAGTAAAGCATCAGTCTACCTTTCTGCTGATCGAACACAGGTGAGGTGCTGAAATCCATGGTAGCCTGCCTCATCGTTTACCACAAGAACGGCAAAAAACACCCAGGGCTCTGGAGAGGAGAAAACACCGTCTCATGCGCTGCAGGCACCACGTCAGTCAGCTTCAGCATGGCTGGCTGAGGCTCCTGTTGGAGAATTAAGTGTGCATTAGATCTGCAGGTTGCCTTCAAGGCCGACGTTGAAAAGAGGTCAAAAGACTCTTCTTCTGAAAACCGTGGGGAGGAAGAGTTACTCCCAGAGCCCCATTCATCATCTATACTCATGTGTGAGTATTACACACCCCTCCCCCCAAAACAGATAGAACAGTCCAAATCCTAGAATAAAACCGTCCTCGTGGGGGTGCCTACCTTGGATCTGGGCCAGGAAGGCGCTGCAGGTCTCCGAGCCTCCGCGGCTGGAAGGTTGCTTTAAACCAATGGAAACCTCAATGAGTGAGTGAGGCTTCTCAGGGCCAGACGGAGCATGTGCGCAGACTGCGTCCGGGGTGTTTGTTCTTGGCGCAGTGAGAACTGCATTTGGGTCACGTGAGCAGAGGGGGGGGTGCCCTCTCAATGGACTAGGACGTAAATATTGTAGCGGGAGGCCGCAGGCCACGTGCCCTGCTGAGCAATTGTGCGCTGGCGCTGCTTTTCTCCTGGCTCCCTGCCGTGGTCCCCTCCTGACAGCGGAGACTTGTGGGAGGGGAGTGGTGTTTGCAAGGTTGTAGGTCAAGGCTCAAGATTCCGTGCCGCCAACTAAAAACAGTCTGCAGTCACAAGGGTGGGTGTTACTGCACTATGCACGAAACCAAATGGATGTCCATTAGGTCACCAAATGGACACCTTTGAGAAGCAGCTGAGAAAATGGCAAATTCATCCGCTAGGCTCCAAAACCCGAGGTGGGGAAGTCTTGCTCTCTTTTGCATTCGATGGCACTCTTTACTGCCAAGTGAAAGCATCTCTACAGCTCATTTGTTTGTGTTTTTATAAAAGGAGTACATTTCACTTGTGTTTTGGGCTTTGTATCCGTGTGTGTGGGCACATGGGTGTGGGTACATGTGCATGTGTGTATATGTGCGTGTATAGACCCGAGGTTAATCTCAGGGATCTCTCTTCAGGGCCACTTTTGTTTTTCCAGATACAGTCTCTCCCTGAAACCCGTGCCTTGTCCACATGACTAGGCTGGCAGGCAGCAAGCCCCAGGATTCTCCTATCCTCTGCAGTAATGGGATTGTGACATCACCTGGCGTTTTATGTGTTACTGATAATGACAAACCTTTTTTTTTCTTTTTAACTAACAAATACTTGAATTTTAAATAAATGCAGGAAATAAATCATTTTTCTCTGAGGATGGCTATATTAAACGTGTGTGTGTGTGTGTGTGTGTGTGTGTGTGTGTGTGTGTGGTACTGGGGACTGAACCCAGGCTTCATATACTAAATAAGTGCTGTACCACTGAACTGCATTTTTAGCCCTTACAATTGTTTTGACACAGAATGATCTAACCTATTATCTGTGTTCTTCTGTAGGCAACCGCTTTCTTATCTTTTGCCTCATATTTTCTAGGTGCCTATTATTTATTTTCCATAAAAAAAAAAACTCGGAGGGCCTCATGTCCCAGTGACAATGCCATCACTCATCTATGAATGATATCACAGTCACTTAATAAAACCAGCACTCAGTCACTAGCACGATTATTCACTTCGTAGTACTATTACTCAGTAGTACTGTTAAGTACTCAACAACGTTATTAATCACTCTCCTTTCCCATATGGGCTCCTTCCTTCAAAATACTCCACGTCATTTGATTTAAAAATGCAAGCAGAGGCTGGAGAGAGAGCTCAGTGGGTCTAGTTCTTGCTCCAGCATTTTAGAGTTCGGGTGCCCAGCATCTGTATAAATGGTGGGTGGACATGGCAGTCTGGCTGGAATCCCAGTGTTGGGAAGGTAGAGTCAGGATTTGGGGAGCAAGATGGGTGGCTGGACTATCAGAGAGCTTTGGTTTCAAGGGAGAGACTATGCCTCAACGTAGAAAGGGGTGCGCAAGCAAGGGAGGCACCCCATTTCAACTCTGGCTCCCACATCTATGTGCAAACATGTTCACCCACACATACATGTGACCCCCCACAAACACATACACACACGCACACACACACATGCAGAGAAATACAATTAAAATTTAAAAGTACATCCAGACACATGCTTAATAACCCAGTACTCAGATATATTTCATATCTCTTTAGTTTCCCAGCACCAATCTCTTATATTAATGATGTGGCACAACCTTGGGGATTCTGTTTATTATTTTTCTCATTACTGTGACAAAATTCTTGAAAAAAGGCAATTTAAGAAGGGAAGGTTTATCTGGCTCACAGTTTGAGAGTACAGTCCACTGTGGCAGGGAAGTCATGGTGGCCGGGGTTTGAGGCAATGTGCCACATTGCATCTGCAGGGAGCAGAGAATGATTCTTTATTCAATCTGTTATCCCAGACCATCGGATGGTGGTCTTCGTACCTTAATTAATCCAATGTAGAAACCCCCTTACAGACACGGCCAGCTGTTTGCCTCCTAGGTGTCTGGGCTCTAGATCCCATCAAGTTGACAATCAAATAAATCAGTACATGAAGGAAAACTGCTAATTATAGTAGCAGATACCCAAGGAGGGGCAGCTTAAGTCCACTGAACTGGCAGGCATTGCTACCACTCGACCCCTAGCAAGAGAACAATGAAGGGTTTAGATGACTCTCCTTTGCATTGACTTGGGCATGCATTCCTTCACCACTACAGCAAGAATGCTGAGCTTCAGTCATTTCTAGAGGCACTGAGCACACACATGTGAGCAAGACAGGAAAGGTGCAGCGTGCAATGAGCTCCACGTGTGGGTGCAACTTCTGCTCTTGGCCATGCTGGAGCCACGAGGATTGGATCTGCCTCCTGCCTTGAACCACTCGGACGCTGCAGTAACGTTGCTGAAACACGTTGACAGATGAGCTAGGTGATGCAGGGCGGTGATCCCGGGAGGAGATCAGCAGCTGACGTCAGCCTGCTGACTCTCCAGCCCATGGCCTGGAGAGATCCAGACCGTTGTATGGCGTGGCTGGTGGGCTCAGTGGTCTGTGGAGTGGTGCATGAAAGGATACCCATGTTCTGCTCCTGAGAACCCATGAACATGACCTTGTTGAGAGAAGGAGTCTTAGCAGCTATAATGAAGTCAAGGGGCTCGATTTGAAACCAGCCTCAGTGGTTGGTATTGTTCAAAGGGACACTCTGAGGGAAGAGGAGGAGGACGTTAGGAACCCACTGTCTCCTGAACCTGTGGAAGGAGTCGGGCTCTGCCAGCACCGTGACTTCAAACGTTTGGTTTCTAGACTGTGAAATAATAAGTTTTCGTTGTTGTTGGAAGCCACTATGTTTGTGATAGTTTTCTTATAGCAGCTTCAAAAAAATTAACACAGAGAAGGACTCTCAAAATAAAATCTCCCCAAATTAATACATTTCTGTGTGAGCATTTATCATTACACAAAGCAAAGTATTAGGTATAGACATTTTCATGTTGTAAGGGGGCTGCTGTGGGCTCATTCTGAAGAAAGGCAGGCAGGTAGATTGGGAGGGACATGGCTTGGGTCTGTTACATAGGTGTGGCCTGGGCAGACTGCACAACTTTTTGGAGCTCTGCATTATAATCTGTTGCATGGGAACCCCACCCACTAATATCCCATGAGAATTCATGGTGATTATTATTCTTTTACCTTTCTGGGCTTCAAAAATGTTGGATATTTTAAAAATTGTATTTTGCAATGCATTTTAAGTGAGGGCATGGTGTCCCACTGCAACCAAGATACAGAATATTTTTATGACTCTGAAAGTTCTCTGGCATTCCTGGCAGGCTAGCCCCTCCCCTGGCAAGCAGATACTCACAGCCCATTGGCTACTTTTCCTGTCACTGTAACAAAGTATCTGGCAGTTGGCAACCTAAGGGCGGAAGGATTTATTTTGGCTCACCGTTTCAGCCCATCATGGTGAGAAAGATACAGAGTGTCAGGCATGCTACTCGGAGCTCCTGGTGGAGGAAGTGTGAGACAGTAACTTATTCCACTGTGGCAGATCAGGGAGCAGAGAGAACAGGACCGGAAACAGGACCAGGCTATAAGCCTTCATGGCCGCTCCTGAATGACCCACCCCTTCCAGCCAGCCGGGACACATGACCCCCAGTGATAGTCCACCATCTGGGGTTCAACCCTATAAACCTGTGGTTCACACTTCAGACTCAAACCATGGCAGCCACCCATGGCCTGTGGTGGTGTACCAACTCTTGTCCATAACATAGGAGAGGAAAAGAGGACGCACGGCCTGTGTGGCCATGCAAATCCAGCTCTTTTCTTCATCTCCAGTTCATTCCTCACCACCCTTCCACTCTGTGCCCAGCACCTAGCCATGCTGGTCTTCCTGTTTCCGGAACGCCATACCCTTTCCTGTACTGAACATACTTGGTTATTATACCTGGTCTCCTTTACCCCAGCTCAGAGGTCACCGTTTCCAACAGGCTTCCCTGACCACAGCCACCCAGCCTAGAAGAGTCTTCTGAACCAGCCACTTCCTTCTTTAGAACGCTGCTTTATGAATTTAGAACGGAAACCATGCTGCCAGGAAGACAGAGCTTTTGCCCGCACTGTGATTGATACGTGTCTGGTGCAGGGTGTCTCAGACTATCCAGGGTGAAGGACCAGGTTTACAAATTCCCACACCATTGGGGAACAACATGTTCTTAAAATGTGATTGAATAACAGGTATCCATTGTTCACTCAAAGTGTGTTCGGGTGCTATCATAGTGTGTGGTCATATACAGTATCCTCTAGCCACATATGGCTGTTTAAGTTAAAATTAAATTTAAAAATTCAGTTCCTCAACCACAATAACAACTGTGATTCTACAGTGTCATAGTTAAAACCAATTGCTCCATGAGAGGTGGGGAAGTGTTAGGAGGCAAGCCTCGGGGGTCGGGGAGAGTCGGGGGATAGAGCCAGTGGACAGTCAAGCAACTCAGAGCTTCATGGTAAGAGACAACCCAGGTTCTAAAGGACAAAGAGTTAGTTTATTTTGCTTTGTACTGTTTTTTAAGCATACCTTCATCATAACATATATTTTGTAATGATGCTATAATTTGTGTAATTTGTTGACTTTGATCATAGTCACATCTGTTTCTCTCGTCCTCCTTCCCTCCCTTGATGCCTTTCCTCTTTCCAGAGATAGTGTCCTTCTCCTTTCCTGCAACATACACGTGCGCACGCACGCACGCACACACACACGCACACATTCACACATGCACATACACGTAAAACACACATGTTCACACCTGCACATACATATACATACATACACATGTGCACACACATGTACAACATACACATGCATGGACACACACATACACATATGCATACATACACACATAGACACACATACATGCACATGCACATACATCCTGTAGATGAGAGGAGGAGACATGTTGTTTGTCTGAGTCTGGTTTATTTCATTGAGTCGAGCATCTTTCGTAATGGATGGATGTTAGTGCATGATGCTGAGTCAAAGAAACCAGACAGAAAGGACCACATACTGAGATCCCCTCTATAAAGCACTCTTGGCAAAAAAGCCATGCAGACAGACTTCATGAGTGCTTTCCAGAGAGCGGGATGAGCTACAGGGGCGTGAGGGCTTGTGGTGCTAGAAATAGTCAATAGTCGTCGTGACGGTGGCGAGGGGCGCACACCTCCAATTCATTTGTCGAGCTCACAG